AAAGAAATAATAGCAACAAAATGGTTTACATTCAGGCAAATTTGCAAATTGGAAAGCAATTGGTTATATTAAAGACGTATTGCTGCTCTACTAGGAACAATCATAAAAACTTTTTACTCTTTGTTTATGTAACATTCTTACATAGAGGAAAAGTAGTCCTAAGACCAAATGCTCATATATGAGTCGGCTTTAACAGATGCATTAAAGCCAACTTTCCGAGCACCATTAAAACCAATAGGCATCTGATAAACCTTCATAAAGCTTATTGGACTATGGGCGTTTCTTAGGGGCAAGTTGCCCTAAAAAACATTATTGGTTAACAGTAATTAATCAATGTTAAGATCAAACGGTTATAATTGCAAAAAGGATTTAATACTTTATTTTAAAGTCATAATCATAAAGCTTCATTATCTCAAGACCAACTAGCACAAAGTAGAGCTGCAATAAAACAAAATAATGTTTTAATCATAATATATTATATTATGGAAACTTTCATAGTTTTCATGTTTTCATGAAATTAATTTTAAACTTGACAGCAGAATTTACAAAGTAATGTAAACTTGCGTGTAGACCAAAATAACGATCTGTTGGGAAACCAAAGGCTTAACAGGTGCCCTCAAAATTTCGCTAGCAACCAAAATAAACAATTAATAAGAAATTGGAAGATCAGACATTGTACTCTCTTGTTTATTTGGCAAGCACTATAGTGTACGAAAGCTATTTTTAAGTCAGCATGCTAAAACAAAGGAGCAATATTGGGTTTTGTTTGTTTAAATTTTGGAAGCAGTTTCGGGTTTGAATTCGAGAATTGTACTTGAAAAGATCAACATACTTTGTTTTATTATTAACTAACTCGGGTGTATTAAGAATCGCCTGTATTGATTTTAAAATCAATAGGATACAAGTTAAGGTTTAAAATATTTAAACCCAATCTGCAGCTAAGTAGTAATTATGGTTAATTGTATACCAGGCTGGAAACCTTGTAACGTAATATATATATATTTTTTTTAACATAATTTTGCTTCACTTCAACACTACAGGTGCAATTTATAAAAATAGGTTCATGAAAAATAATATTCGCACGCAATGTGAAACAAAACAGGCCAAATTTTTTTTAACATTAACTGAACAACAAACGATGAAATAAAGGCGCCGGCGCGCCGGGTCGATAAGTTTTATTTTGTGTACATATAGTAAAAACATAAATAGTTAAATGGTCAAATCATTAGATGACGCTGTACACTATTATAACTATCTCAGTCGGTAATAATATAGAACTACTTTATTTTGGGTCCATTATAGGACAAAAAAGTTCGCACGTTACTTTGGTGGTAAGATTTTTGTTTTTTTGTTAAGAGCAGGGCTGTGTTTAAATTACCATAAAAAATATTTCTAAAAAGTTTACAGATCAGTGAGTGGTATAAATGTGTTCCTCATGGTTTAACCATTGTCACTTTAATGCGTTTTAATTTTAATTCTGAAAACAAACAGTAAAATGGCCGGTGTCCAATGACTGGTTGGTAAAAACTGTAAATTTCTATTATTGGACATATATGTCCAATATCATACTGTATTTGTATCCCAGACATTTACCAGCCAATTCCTATGTAAAATTGTCCCCTGAATCCAAAAACTATAAAAGTTAAGCAATTTTTAAGATATAGTCAATTCTATTAAATGTAAATTTCAATTATTGGACATATGTCCAATATCATACTCTATTTATATCCCGGACATTTACCAGCAAATTCTTATGTAAAATTATCCCCTGAATCCGAAAAGACCATCAAAAATTATAAAAGTTAAGCTGTTTTTGAGATATATTATATGTAAAATTGATTATATTTCAAAAACTGTTATACTTTTATAACTTTTGACGAAATATTTGGATTCAGCGAATAATATTTCATACGAATTGACTGCTAAATGTCCTGGATACAAATTGCTGTTGACGAGAATATTATTATTATGATATTTTTGACTAATTTATTTCTAGAGAGTAAGTAATATGGTGATTTATTCTTCACAGAACATCTTGCAGAATAACAGTGATTTAAATACAGTGCATGATAGAGAACATAAAAAACTAATGGCAACAAAATAAATTCGGAAAATACTTTTAACATACCACCCGAAAAAATATTAGATATATATAAATCATCCTGTTTCGAGCTAAACATTATAAATGCTTCACACACTAGAGATACCACACTTAATTATATTTGCAACAAACTATTTCGGAAGTTAGACCAAGGAATTAGTAGTTACTTAGAATCCAGAAAAGGGATGAGGAATCCGAGAAAGAAATATATGAATTATATGCATATAATTCATATATTTCATGATATATAGAAAAACGAAATAAAATTACCTAAAACAGCAATTTATCTTTAAAAAATATTTAACAATTTATGTTATTTGATGTAAAGTTGTTATGTTTATATAAAAGTTGTGTCCAATAACTATGGTCCATGTGTTCAAATACTATATAAAATGTCAAATTACTATAGATTTTGCATGTTTTTATAAAACTATTATTAAAAATTCAAATATTCTTATTTTTAAGTAAACGTAAATAAAGTTTAAACAAACAAACTATCCGTTTTATATTTTTATAAGAAAAAAACTAAAATCTTTAAAAAACAGCATATATAAATTTTAAATAAATAATATTCTTTATGTATCCAATAACTATGTATGTTAAATTTTTGTTAAAAATGTTGTTAGCACAAAAATTGTAGATATTAAACTGAAAACTTTAATTTTCGAAATAACGGACACACATACATATGTATGTCCGTTATTTCGAAAATTAAAGTATTTTATATATGTATAAGTTTATGTATATGTCGATAATGAAGCTCAAATGAAAAACATTTATTTGTTGTCCATTTTGAGTGAAAACACCCTGTATAAACTATACATTTGTTATGAATGGTTTAAATTTGTTAGTTTACAAGCTTTAGAAAAGCAATTTTATTGACAGACTGCCAGAAATGTCGCGGGCAATAAATAATTGTCTATTTAAAAAAATTATATTCACATATTATATAATTTTGATAAAACTCGTTTTTTTAAGTCTTTCTACATATGGGCTATTTTCAAATTTCTTTTACTTTTGCTGTCCTTTAACTTTAATATTTTATAAAAACTGAGTTTAACGCCATTTGGAACTTTACTAAGCGAAATCAATTGGTTTAAGTGTTTTTAGGAATTAGCAAAATTGTAAAATTTTAAACTTAACCCTATCAACAAAATTAAACTTTTCCCAACCGTACAGAAAAGTAGCTGTCCCACTTGCAATAATATTCACTACTTAATGCTATTTAAACACCTTAGAGTCATTCCAAATAAAAACACCAAATGGGGTGCGCTGCTTGATTTTTTATTTTCATAAAAAAAATTGAGGATGATCTTTTAGGTATTAAATATGAAAATCCGTTGCCGTTTTAATTTTTGGATTCTTTACTTTTAATCGGCACCCTTTAGAAATCTGAAATTGTGTCAATTTCTTACTCTCTCGACAAATATTGAAATGATTTTAATTTTGTTTTACTGTTCAGTAAGCGTGTTTTCAATATAAATTATTATTATCCAATTAGTTAATCTCATAAAAGAATGGTAAACCACTAAAGATTCATGAATGATAATTTGCCAATTTTTGTGATTTTTGTCTGGCTCCTGTGCCTATTCTGCTTAATCTAGAAAGTTGCTTTTTTTAGGTATCAAGTACTTATACAATATAAAACGTAACTATTATTTTAAGTTTCTATACTATCATTTTCTTCATTAAAAAATTATTGAATTTTGATAATTTTCAAAATTAGCCAATTTTGCCCTCAGAAATCATTATGTTGAGGAAAAAATAAAAATCTGAAACTTTCAGGAAATGTAGTCCCCACCTTCATCTTTTCAGTCCAGTAAGTCTTGTTTTGTTATTTTAATTTCTTTAAAAGATATATTAATTTTTTTAATGCCCGTTTATTAGCGATATTGTTAGTTTTATTTATAATTTAAAATTTAGATGGCTTTCATGTTTGGTGAAGAAGTGTCAGAACTGTCAAAAATATTTCATATTATTTGTGCGTATTTCTTTGGTAAATTTTCAAAATTTAATTTTGTATATAACATAATATGTCATATTACTTGATAAAATATTGCTTTTATTGCTAATAATATTAATTTTTTTTTTAAATATGGTTTTATCTAGATTTAATATTAGATTATTTAATTGACACCAGTTCTTAAATTTCAAAATAACATTTAGTTTACTTTCGATTTCGAAATTTATGTTCTTTTTTAATACAAATCCTAGTGTAAATAAAACCTTAAAAGGATTATTAACAAGCAAAAAATATAATTTCAAAATAATGAAGCATTTTTAAATAAGTTAGTAAATTTGTAGTTTTTGTTTTTACTTTTTCTTCTTTAATTGTACAAGAATTTTGAAAATGAAGTAAGCAGGTAAGTATATTTTTATATAAAAACACGATAGTAAATATCTCGTATAAAAGGTTTTTGGAGGTGTCCCAAAACAGAAATAGACAACTTTCGGCTGGTATGCTACGGAATTAAGTAAAACCAATTTGTCGCAATGATATCAGGGTGTCAACATCATCCCCGCAATTTAGTGACCCATAAAATGTTAATTTGTCAACGCACTATAATAATTTCGTTATATAACAACAAGAGGCGAATAAATCGATATCCATATTAGTGCTATACTTAGACAACAATTATGATTATCGATTAAGTTTTTTTAAAGGATTAAATTAATAATAAATTTATATGTTGGGGACAAAGCAATGGTTCACAAATCAATAGCCACTTGTTTTTTTAGATTTCGTTTTAAATAGTAGGAGTAGGATTATCCGTTAATACCGCATTATTAAAATGACATTTAGCGCGTTTTCGAAAGTTTTGAAAACTTTTCTCGGGGGACCGCAAATCGCGCAAAGTGCGAAAAGTGACAGTAATGCTCGTAAAAAGTTATTTATTACCTTGAGAGTGGCTGTCATCTAGGTACAGAACACAACAAACTTTAGCGTCATAAAAAGGGGTTGAAAAAGAAGTATAGAGAAGTCACATGCACTGGGAAACGCGCGTTTTTGTTGATGCACCGAGGAAAACTAGGAAAACCCGTCGGAAATTTTACCGAGACTCGCGTCTGGTTTTCAGCGCTGGCGCGGACCTGCCGCACAGTGGCCAATATTCCGAAAAAAATGGCCAAAATTTGAAAATTGTCCGATTTAAGCCAAACTTTGTGTAGTGTGGTTTCTTGGGTAAGTTTTTACAAAAATGACAATATTTTTTCAAAATTTAAATTTTTTTTTATTACTTGCGACTTAATAAATAAGTTAATGGGTAATTTTCAAGAAACACCCGCTTTCAGGAAAATGAAGATCAAATTTTTTTTGCTTGAATTGACTTTTGGTTGGATTTTTTTTTACGTTTTTTTCAGGAAAATGTGTATAGCTAGCTTTATATATCTCCACTGTGTTACCAATTTAAAATCCAAAATTTAATTCAATAAAAAAAGTTGTTATAAAAATAATTTGAAATCACAAACTTTTGACTCCAATTTTTTATTTTATTTTTTATTAAAAATTGTATGCTTTTTTTTAAATATGTATGTTCGTTAAGTTACTTTTTAAAAGAAACCATTCCGATTCTTTGTTAAAAAAAACAATACCATTAATATTTTCTTTTAGTCACTGTATTAGTGAATTAAACTCTAATTTATAAACACCCATTACCAAGTGATAGTGTATAAAAATCATTTTAAGTATTTTTTTAACAAAAACTAAAAAAAGTATCGAAATAGACATTGGTATCACAACGGACAGGGGTACACAAAGGACTTAATCAGATAACTTAGAGTAATGCATAAACAAAATCCCTTGTAGTGGTGCTCACTTGCAGAATAACAACTTAGATTTCTAAATTGTAGACACCATTTTTCTTTGACTATAAGCTGGTGAAGGTCCCTTTTAGTAGTTTTATATTGCGTGGAATATTCCCTTGGATGTAATCTATATCATGAGTTGTAATTACAAATAATTTTAAATTGGTTAATCATAAACTATTTTTAATAAAAGCGACGGTAAATATCCACTTTGTTGTCGAAAAATTCTATTGCGTTACAATAAGGTAACATAGTGGACTCGGTAACGCAGTGGACAAAGTTTTGTAAAACCATATTTAAAAAATAATAATAAGACATTATAGTCATTAATTACTCTCAATGAGCTTTAGTGCCCTAAAATAAACATAAACATCAAAAATAGTATTTTTTCTTACCTTATTTTTATTATTTTTTTGAGTAACTTAGCGGACAAACAATTATTACATTCGCGTTACCCGCACCTGTTTCAACCGATATCTTCTTCCTGATTGAATAAATAAACTCAGCTGGGTGATGTGTACGTCCGAACATCATTTGTTGATCACGTGAGTACCAAAATAGTTGCCATATATATGTTTTTTTAATATTCTATTGGTAACGCGACGGACGTAACGCAACGGAAAAAATGTATGTGACATGAGTCAAATTTAAAAAAAGTAGATTAAATTTAATTATTTTATATATAAATTGTTTACTGTATTAAGTAAGGATGTTATGGATTGCTATAAAGCAACACAAAGTTCTGGTTATTCAATATTTAAAAAAAAAACATGTATGTAAGTTTTATAAAACGCTAATGGGACATGCGAAAATGTGTGTTTCACAAGTTTCAAAATTAAAAAAAAATATTCTGAAATAACTAAACAAAAATTTTCTGAAAGAGTTTACTAAGGGCTTGTTAGGCTTTCACTTGGTTTTTAAATCAATAAGATCCGATAATTTTTAACAAAGTTATTGGAATTCAAACTTAGGGACAGCGGAAGGCGGGTGTTTTTTGACAACATCAAGTTGTCAATTTTTTGTATAATCACCCATATATATTTAATATATGTTTAATTTTAATATTTTTATTGTTTTTCTTGCAAGTAAGCTACTATTTTTTTTTTATAAATAAATTTTTGAAATCCTACATATATTTTTTTATTTCTAGTAAAAATACCTACTATCACTTGTATACCTTTGGAAATATGTTTTTTAGTCATTTGCTGCCCTTTTGATACAGAAAAAGTTCACAAATATTTTTGGCAACGTTTTAGGTCAAAATACCTGTCTGTGCGCCGCACAGTGTTTCAATTCTCGAAAATGTCGGCAAAACCTCGAAAGTTGACATTTCTTTTCAGGAAAATTTTGAGTTAGATGGGTAGTTAATACCTGTCTCCATCCTGTATTGAAAAAAATATATATAAAATACTTATATTTTGTCTTGTACATCAGTTTAAACTTGACGCTTTCAGTTGAAGGTACTTTACACGCGATCGCTGTGGAAAATTTTTTATTGTTTAAAAGTTTTTCGTAGATTTTGCTTGTACAACGGGTTATTGTAACCGACAAGATCGGTCTGTTAAAATCGCAAACTTTGAATCGAGCTTTTAGAACAATGGAGCTACAAAAATTGAATAGCTTAAAGTTTTGTCTATCAAGCCATCAATAAATTAGCTGCCCCAACTTGCCCCCGGCTCTTTAAAACTACATGTTCTTGGGCACTCAGGCACGGTTGTAGTAAAAAACCTCGCGATTTTAAGCCAATGTCGAGCGCGTATCTGTGTTTTTGCTTTACAAAATATAAGATTTTTTATTTCTGGGTTGCGTTCATGACCTTTACTCGATTCACTCGGATTTAACTCAAAACGTTTATTACAACAGCGGTGTCTAGACTTTCACTTGCGTAAATGCGTGACTACTAAGATATTTAACACCGATTTTACATATTTAACCCCCCTCTTGTAGGTGCGTTAAAACAACTCCGCATGCGCATTGTAGTGTGTTAATGTCAAATTTGAATTGTGGTTATTTGTGTTGACAATTTTTTTAGCGAATTATGAAATCGTTCCTAAAATATTAAGTAAAAAAAATAATACAAATTTAAAATACTTAGTATAAAATCTGTTATATTTATTATTATTTTATTTATAAGTTTCTCGGGAGAAAACGATGGAAGATGTTTTCCATTGGCTTATGGCATCTTCCGATCCGTATATTTCTAGCTTCAGAAAAATTTCTCCGAAAAAGAGCAAATCTTTGTCCCGCGAAGCAATAAAACTGTTGCTATCTTCTGATGGTTTCCCATGCTCTGCTAATGATACAACGAGCGAATCCAGTGACGGAGATTGTTTAATATATATGTAGGTATTAAATAATATCATATAAATGTAATTAAAATAAATTAAGCAATTTTATAAAAATATGTTTTATTACATTTTAAAAAGAACCTCTTAGGGATTTTTAATTAATTTCGACAAGATTTGATAAAAATGTCCGCTATTTGAGGTCTACCATTTTGAATTCTGATTCCAGATTCGTTATCAGCGACCCCAAAAACATCTATATACGGATTTTTAGGAGAATCCGACTACTCCTTGATATTTTGCCGAAAATTTCGAGAATTGAAACACTGTGCGCCGTCAAAACGTTCGCATTGATACGCCCACCGCGCTCGTATAAAATAATGTCGCTATTTTTGCGATACTAATTTTTCCATCGGCATTCTTACACGGTAAACAAATATTTGTCAATTTTAAACAAACATTAACCAGATTATATGTTAATCCAGTTAACTAAATAGTAGTAGTAAAGGGTTGCCACCGATAATGCTTTACTGTTTTATGCAAGCTTTATAAATGCATGAAAACATGCTTTTTATTTTATTGCAGCTCAACTTTGTGCTAGTTGGTCTTGAGATAATAAAGCTGTATGATTAGGCTTTATGAGCGACTTTAAACTTTAAAGTTTAAAGTATAGTATTAAAGCCTTTTTGCAATTTTAACCGTTTGATCTTAAAATTGATTTATTACTGTTAACTAATAATGCCTTTTTAGGGCAACTTGCCCCTAAGAAACGCCTATAGTCCAATAAGCTTTATGAAGGTTTATCAGATGCCTATTGTTTTAAATGGTGCTCGGAAAGTTGGCTTTAACGCATCTCTTAAAGCCGACTCATAGGAGCATTTGGTCTTAGGACCACTTTTCCTCTATGTAAGAATGTTACAGAACCAAACAGTAAAAAGGTTTTATGATTGTTCCTAGTAGAGCAGCAATACGTCTTTAATATAACCAATTTGCTTTCCAATTTACAAATTTGCATGAGTGTAAACCATTTTCTTGCTATTATTTCTTTCTTAAAACGTTTTCGTCTTGATAATAGCGAAGAAAATAACTCTTGTCAACATGTCGCCGCCATACACGAGGAGTTTTTTAGAGCGGTGGTTAAAAGTTAAAAAAAAGTGAAAATTTTTATAAAAAAAAAAGTTGGCTCCTGTAAGAGCTGTTAAAAGTTGTTCGTCTGTGTTGTTGGCAAAACATCCGGTTGATAATACTCATTGTATTCCTTCAACGTCCTGTTCCAACCAAGAGCTAAATCCGCATCATTCTATCACAGAAATTAAGACAATTTTAGGTGTTATCATCTGACAAAGCATTATAGCCCTGATGGCGATACTTTTGATGAAAATACTGCAAAGTTGTTTTAGAATGCTCGCACAAAATTCCAATTGGTTTTATGATTGCCTTGAAAAATGCAGTCATATATGACTGTAGGGCTTAATAGTTTTAACAAATAGTTGTAAACACTTTTTAAAGCAATTAAACTTTTTAGCAGTTGTTTATAGATAGATATTTTTCAGAAAATTTCAAAAAATTTGGTTTTTACGAGCATGTTAATGCTAGAGAATTTTTTTTCGATAAGAGATGGCTTAAAAAACGGAATGTAGGTAGATCGTGTAAGTAATTTAGCCAAAGCCTTTAAAATTGTTTAAATTAAGCCTATTTCAGTGGGCATCATACGTTTTGTGCCTCGGCAATCAACTTGTATCAGTAAAGTGGTATTTGTTTATGATTTTTGCATCCGAAAGTTATTGGTTGACAAAAGATAATAATTTTCTTAATAAGTTTTTAAAATCAATAATGGCCTATGCTTTTGATTCATAAGGCAACAATATACCAAACAAGTATTTGATTAAAGCAATATGGAATTTACAAAGTGCAACAATAAAGAAAA